AAAAATAAGCATGAGTTTGAGATGCACAAAACAATGCATTTAGCATCCACTGTCTTTGCAACCTCAACGTAAACACTGATTGTTTTTCATTGTTTTTTCTGGATTCTATATTTAAGAAATAAATACAAAGCAAAAGTTCCCCTAGAAACATCCGATGGTCACTATAGATGACCTAATGGAGAATTCCCCCTAAAATGTATGTATAGCCAAAAGTCACACAGGGAAGCAAACAACAAAAAAAATTCTCTCCTTTTCTTTTATATTTCCTACACACACACACACACACACACACACGGAGTTCTGCAAGGGAAAAAAATTTTTTGAAAGCTAAATAATTTATTGAATTTAAAGGAAAAACTCTTATTACATTTAAATGAAAGACACTTAGAAGGTCAGGCAGTAAATTGTGCCTGAATGCAAAACTTATTTTCTAGCTCAGACATTATCATTTTTTTTTTGTACTTTAAGTTCTGGGGTACATGTGCAGATCTTGCAGGATTGTTGCATAGGTACACACATGCCATGGTGGTTTGCTGTCTCCATCCCCTCGTCACCTTCATCAGGCATTTCTCCCAATGTTATCCCTCCCCAACCTCCCCGACCCCCACTGTCCCTCCCCTGTTCGCCACCCCCCAACATACCCCAGTGTGTGATATTCCCCTCCCTGTGTCCATATGTTCTCATTGTTCAATACCTGCATATGAATGAGAACGTGCGGTGTTTGGTTTTCTGTTCTTGTGTCTTTTTGCTGAGAATGATGGTTTCCAGATTCATCCATGTCCCTACAAAGGACACAAACTCATCATTTTTTATGGCTGCATAGTATTCCATGGTGTATATGTGCCACATTTTCTTTAGCCAGTCTATCATTGACGGGTGGGAAAATTTTTAAGTGGGAGCCAGAGTATCCTGTGAGGCTGCTGACCCAGAAAATCTTTTCCTTTGTGGAGAGGCCCTTTGGCCCCAGCATTGGGACTGCACAGACTTCCCTTCCACTGTGAAGGTGAATTCTCCCTCCATGGAAGTAGTTTGTGGAGTTGATAGACCAGTGGTCTTCATGCTACATATAGTCTATGGAAAAATGGTGAGATCACTGATACCTTCCACGGCCTCTCCAAGGCTGGGTATAAGAAAGAACCTGGTGAAGGAAGGAGATGGAAGAACTTCCATTTTCCTGAGCTCTGACATAGGTGACCTTGGATGTTTCTGCCATACCAGGAAGTCACAATCTTTACAGAGCTGGCTCCTGGGGCAACCTGCTCCACTGGCTTTATGACTGGAGACTTGGTGATGAGGCTCTGCAACCACTGGATTCCTGGATAGAGACATTATTTGATATAATTATTAAAACCAAACATGTCTACCCAGTGCCAGACAGTCAAGGGTGACACAGCCTGGGCTAGTCAATTGAGCTGGCCATCTCCCAGCCCTTCATCACAGATGCCCTCTCTCCACTCCCTGAGGGCCCACGACTCTTAGGTGCTGTGGTGCAATTGCCTCAGTTCTCAGAGGCTCTCTCCAGAGGGTCTGTCTCCCCTCTCCCCTTGGTTTGTGCCACTCTCAGCACTGCAAGTGCTACTGTTGCCAGCTTCCCCGCTTGTAAGTTTTTTATTAAACCTGCTGGGGATAGCTGAGATACTCCAGGATGGTAAGATATAAAATTTCAAGCTAATCACTTACTGGCTACTAAGAAACCTCTTCTCCCACATGACAATTGTGTTCATTTGTTCATGCACTTATGTATCCGTTCAACAAACAACTGTGGAGCCACCGCAAAGCTCCAGGTGATGGGCTTGGCCAATGAAATGATGCAAAACAAAGGAGGCCAAAAGGATGAACCTTAAGGATTCTGTCAGCCTCGTTGTCTTGCCTGGGTGATAAGCAATGGGACAGAGTGAGAGATTCTAGCCACTAATATGCTATACTTTATCTTAGCCAAAAGGCCCAGATTGCTTCCGGCAGGTGGTAATATGGCTACCTTTTTATCATTGTGCTTTGGATCACACTGAGTGGTTTGTCTAAGGCCTCTCTGCCCTGGGCTACTGACAAAAGCTGAAGCAGTCATTGTTCCAGACTGGAAGAAGGCCAAGTCATTCCACAGATACCCAAGGTCGAAGCAAACTCTCAAGATTCAGGAGAAAGTGGGGAGGTGCTTACCTTCGGGAGAAGAGCTACAGCACTGGGGACCTTGGAGGCATTTTGTCTTTAGGGATGTAGCTCTCTGGAGAGCTGCAAAAGTGATGGAGTTCTTCTCTGGGACACCTGCACGGCCTCCAGGACTCTGGGCCCTGTGATCATTGGGGACTGTGGAGAAAGAGTCAGCAGATTCCCTTTGCAGCTTCTCCAGATGGAATGATACTTCAAAACTTAGACAAACATGCCTGATGGCCGCTTGAAGTAGGAGGACCAATAGAGTTACTCCAGCTCAGTCTCCCAGAATGGCTTCACAACGGCCTGCCTTGGGTGTGAGAGACAGGAAATGGCACTTGCACTGGGCCAAACTGTCACAGACACATAATTTAGTGTTTTTTATTCTCCAGTTAGATGTACAGGCCCATAAAAGCAGATATGAAAAAAAGAAGGGTTGTGGCATGAATCCCTTAAAAATAGGCCGGGCGTGGTGGCTCACGCCTATAATCCCAGCACTTTGGGAGGCCGAGGCGGGTGGATCATGAGGTCAAGAGGTCAAGACCATCCTGGTCAACATGGTGAAACCCCGTCTCTACTAAAAATACAAAAATTAGCCGGGCGTCGTGGCGCACGCCTGTAGTCCCAGCTACTCGGGAGGCTGAGGCAGGATAATTGCTTGAACCCAGGAGGTGGAGGCTGCGGTGAGCCAAGATCATGCCATTGCAATCCAACCTGGGTAACAAAAGCAAAACTCCATCTCTAAATAAATAAAAGTCTGCTCAAATGTAGGGTTAATGAAAAATCACACTCAATATTGTAAGCCAATCTTTCTGTTTTTTTCAGCAGAGAATACTGAAGTCTCACAACAATACCTTAGTTGACCCTTGTGTAAGTATAAATTTCCAACTATGACCCCAAAATAGTTCAGGCATTTTTCCAGGCACACTGTGTCATAACTGCCTTTCCCCAAAGCATGCTCAGTCTCAGTTGGAGTGTGTTGCTGTGTGTGATGAGCAAAGAATACCAGATGCATCACCAGATACAAGCCAGGTAAATGGGTCTGGGATTGGGTGTCTCAGTGCAAAAGCATCCTTGTGTTTCAATAGAAATCTTCTAATTTCCTCATTTCCCATGGAAAGTGAGTATGGGAGGCTGAGCTCTAGATCACTGAGGTCTCCAGAGACAAGTAATGGGCAGGGCTGGCCTGCTGAGTAGGGAGAATGATCAAATGTCAGAGAATAAAAGCATTTTCAAGTAGGTGGTGTGGATGGAAAGGAAAAATCCCAAATATCTACTCCAAGGTGCAGGCAGAGCTTTGTCAGCCAGCAGGAACAGACTGAGACAAGCTGTTTAGTTCAAGGTGTGGACTCTGTCATTAATCCTGCAGAGGAACACACACACAGGAAAAGTGAGTCTCTTGTGAAGCCCCTATTGCTAGCCTGGAGGGAGGTTTAGGCTCAGTGTGCTGAGCTGGTTAGGACAAAAACCATCACCATCTGACAAATGACGAGGCATGTTTACTCTCACTTCTTGACTGGTGCTCAATGATGTACAAAGCTTCTCATTCCACAGGCTCCAGTATCAACCCAAATTAAGTCTGTTTAGAAATAAATAATTTTTTTGAGACAGTATCTTGCTGTGTCACCCAGGCTGGAATGCAGTGGTGCAATCACAGCTCACACCAGCCTCAATCTGCTGGGCTGAAATGAACCTCCCACCTCAGTCTCCCAAGTAGCCAGGACTACAGGTACCTGTTGCTACATCAGCTAATTTCTCAAATTTTGTGTAGAGCCAGTGTCTTACTATGTTGCTCAGGCTTGTCTTGAACTCCTGAGCTCAAGTGATGCTCCCATCTCAGCCTCCCAAAATGCTAGGATTATAGGCATAAGCCACAGTGCTGGCCAGGAAGAAATAATTTGATAATGATTTATTGAAAGCCAAATGTGAGGAGTGACTCAATAAAATACACCAACAAACTTGGGAGTGTTTGGAGTCTGTTACAAGTTGAAATGCTTTTATAGTAGAGGTCCCCAAATTTTTTGACACCAGGGATCAATTTTGTAGAAGACAGTCTTTCCATGGACCAGGGTGGGGTCGGGGGCAGGACGGTTTCAGGATGTTTTAAGCACATTAAATTTATCCTGCACTTTATTTCTATTATTATAACATTGTAACACATAATGAAAGAATGAAATAATTGCACAACTCACCATCAAGTAGTCACTGGGAGCCCTGAGCTTGTTTTTCTGCAACTAAATGGTCCTACCTATATGTGATGGAAGACAGGGACGGATCATCAGGCATTAGATTCTCATAAGAAGCACACAACCTAGATCCCTCCCATGCACAGTTTACATGTTTGCCTTCCTGTAAGAATGTAATGCTGCTGCTGATCTGACGTGAGGCAGCGCTCAGGTGGTAATGCGAGCAATGGGGAGCGCTGTAAATACAGATGAAGCTTCACTGGCTTGCCCACTGCTCACCTTCTGCTGTATGGCCCAGTTTCTAACAGGCCATGGATTGGTATGGACCCATAGCCCAGGAGTTGGGGAACCCTGTTTTATAGAAAAGGTTAGGAGAAAAGAGGGACTCCTCACACCAAAGCTGTCCCTTCTCATTGAAGGGCACAATACAGAAGTTACAATTATTGGATACAGATTGCAACATACAGGCTCAAATGTCTCCAGGCAGGACAATCAGTAAACCTCAAAGATTCAGAAATATATCAGTGTGCTTTTCAGGGTTACTGGGTTATACATTAATCACTGTGTCAACAATTTAAGAGACTCATGATAAGATTCAGGGACAGGATTTCACCATGAATCACAAGACCTTCCCAAGGTGGGTTACTTTGAAAGCCTGTTTACTTTTAAACTAAACTGCCAAATGTGTCCCATAGTTACCACATTCCCCTTTTGATAAAAAAAAATCTTCCCATGGAAGCATCATTGATCAATCTGCCAGGTTAGGGGGATAGATGTTCTTAATTCCTTATCAATGGGAGGGCTTATTCCAGGAAGTCACATCCCCAAAATCTATTATTTGCCGGCAGGCCAGTTTGCTAACACCATGGGGTCATGACACAAGATTACATGCTATTCTGAATCATAAGTCATCTCACTAGGAAATGATTATTTTGGCCTTAGACATTGATCTAAAGCAAGCAGAAATGCAAATCATGAGTAACTTAACAGCCAAAAAAAATTACACTATGTTTATTATTAGGTTGGCACAAAAAAGTAGTTGCGGTTTTCACCATTACTTCTGATGGTGAAAACCGCAATTACTTTTTTGCACTAACCTAATATTATAATCAAAACAACTTGAAAAACATAATAGAATAAGGAAACTAGTCCTAAGGGTAACCAAATGAACAAGTCATCAATTTATAGTTGCTGTTGTTTGTTGAATCATCTCTAGTTTTCAGAATTTCATAATTTGACTTTTCTTGGAAGAAGTAAAACAATGAGAGATGCATAGCATTAATAATTTGAATAGGAGAAACATAATGCACACAAAAATTATGATCAAAAAGAGAATTTTTATACAAGAATGGGGGAAAAAAGAACCTATTCCATTAGGGAACCAATTAAGAAAGAAAATTAAATCCAATTTCCCCTTTAGGGACTTACTATAGCCAGGAAATAATTCAGTCCAAATTTCAAGCAAACAATAATTTTTTTGAAACTCAAAAACAATGGTCAGGGCTAGAATCTAATAACAGGTATGCTATAATTTTCTTCTGAAAAATAATTTTTCTTTCTTTGATCTCCCTTTTCTGCCAAAGAAAAATCATAGGCCAATTTCATTTGCAATATAAATTTTAGCATTATTGTACTTGACCTGATTATTTGTACAAAATGCAACAGGAATAGCGATTGTCCATATAGGGTCCTTTTAAGTTGGCTTTGCTGGAACTTTTTCATAAGACATTTTAGGTTATACTTTTAAAAGCTTCTTTAGGCTAGAAAGCCAAGGCAAGGATTTGTTATCAGATTACGCCTGTACTACTTGTAAAAATTGGATAAATTCCTCCCTTCTTGAAGTCTCCCAAACACCCCAAGATTTCTGGGCCTGTCAGGAAGGGACATCATTTGCCATGAGGTCAAAACCCTACAAGAGAACTGTGTAGACAAGGTACCAGGTCAGCCTTCTTTCAAGTCTATTGGCTCTATAATGCCAATTTCAATCCCTCAAAACAATCTTGTCATATTTAAAAATATGACACTCTAATCAAAGCCTTGGTAAAATAATCAGTGTTTCCAATCTGTCCTGTTACCAAAAAAAAAAAAAAACAACACTGATTATTATTAAACTTATGCAGATAACCATTGCCATATAATAAGAATGTTTATGAATAGTTTCCAAATTATTGAGAATTCATGTAGAGAGAGAAATGCAACTGTTTTGGTTTGGCTCACAAAAGTATACTTTCCCTAATTGCTGTCAGATATAAATAACTTAAAAGAAAGAGAAGTTTTCTTGACTTTTGAATGTTTCAAACAGAAGGTCATAAAAGTCACGTTAGTCCTCCATTGATTTCGTCTCATGTAATCCTTATTCTGCTGGTGTTGGGTTAGCAATTTTCATGGAGACATCAGTTTTTCATTAGAGTTCGGGAAGTTTTTATTTCACCTAACTATATGATCTCCAAAGTTATCAGAAACCCATATTCAATAGTATTTGTCAGAGTCTTTTCCATAAAAATAGCAATTTTGGATTATAGTTGACTTCAAATGCTTATAAAGAAAAATTTAAAACAATAATTGTTGATGTAAAAAACTTAGAATGACCATGGTTAAAATGTGATAGAAGTTTCCAATTGACAAGAAATTTAGATGTTTTGATTATGTGCAACATTCTAAGATAACAACCAGAATCATGACTGACGGTGCCACATTAAAACTATTAGATTTTTACAAATGTCATATAATCTTTAGGATATTCACATTAATAATATCTATACAAATATGACTTTAGAAAAGATTTAACATAATCAAAATTATGACTAATAACAGATTTTTATAAATTTATATAATTTGGGAACATTTTATCAATAGAATACTCAGAAGTGTAACTGAAAGATTTAGTGTCACATATCATTTGACAGTTCTCTCATACAATTTACCAAATCAGTCTAATCATTTAACATCTCTGCAAGAGGAGAGATACATTTTTTGAGACTCCTCAGGGGTCCGACTGGAAAACACCAAAGTGAGCTTTAGGTCAAAAAAACTTAATTTAGGATTTTGATCTTGCATAAACCTGCCAAAGATGTCAAAAGGTATAAAACGCTTGATCGAAATGGAATCACAGATCATTGTAAATGATAATTATTCCTTTAACCAGAGCAATAATCAAAAGACTTGAAAAGCAATACAGAAAGTTACATGGATGTAAAAATCTTAGCCCTTTTAAAGCTCAGTTTTCTTGAGTAATCAAAAACTTAATAAAGACAATACAGAAACTTTCTTAATAAAAATAAGTTTTTGGCTAGGCATGGTGGCTCACACCTGTAATCCCAGCACTGTGGGAAGCCAAGGCAGGTGGATCACCTGAAGTCAGAAATTTGAAACCATCCTTGTTAACATGGTGAAACTCTGTCTCTCCTAAAAATGCAAACAAACAAAAAAATTAACCAGGCAGGGTGGCATATGCCTGTAGTCCCAGAGAGTCAGGTGGCTTAGGCAGGAGAATCGCTGGAGCCCAGAAGGCAGAGGTTGCAGTGAGCTGAGATTGCGCCACTGCACTCTAGCTTGGGTGACAGAGTGAGACTCCATCTCAAAAAAAAAAAAAAAGTTTTAAAGAGAAACAGATTTCAGAATTAAAAATTAGCACCTCTTAATTTTATTAAAAGCAAAGCAATATTTTAATCAAATCTTGTTGTA